ATCCCTCAGCCCCGGTCCACTTGAACTCGACCTTCTTGCCACTCTCACCTGCGTGACCCAACACAGAAAGGCACCCAGAGCGAAACAGACAGGTCATGGATGGTCTCTGTTCGTCGGCTCACTGGGCATATCGACAGCAAGCGTTGTGCCTGCAGGGCCTTCCTTCGGGAACCGCATGTTAGTCCCCACGTCATACAGGCCGCTCACCTGGCGGAGAGACGACAGCCAAAGTGCATCTTCTGGTCGCCCTCTCTTCAGTGAGTGCCATCAGAGATGCATCGCACTTACGAGGTCAGGATCCAGCTCCTCCAGCTCTTCGTCGTCTTCTACCGTCCACCTGGCTGTTCTGAGCTGAAAGATCCAGCGCTGCCCTCCCCTCCTGGCACCCACCAGCTCCTTCGTCTTGTCCGCGCTCTTCGACCAAGAACTCATCGCTGTACGGTAAAATCAAGTCAACCGACTCAGACCTGACTGCCAGACCTGACTGCGAGGTGTGTCGTCGCCATCGGGCAATCGGTCGATTCCTTCTGGGTTGGGGGCTAGGGTTTAAAACCCTGTAGCGAAACCCTGTAGGCCCTCTTCATCTCGATCTTTTGGCTTTTTGCCACCGTCAATACATCGTGGTGCATCAGGAAGGCGGGATCTGCTTGCCCTGTCCGCGAGTATCCTTTTTTGGGCGACCCCCGTTCATTCACCGAGCCCGCCCGCCGCTGCGCCGGTCTGAGAGGCGGGTCTGATGCTTCCTGGGAATCCCCCCGCCATGGGGCCGGTGGAGGCCGGCACGGCCAAAGGGGGCGTCACGTATCAGTGGATGAGTAAGCAAACACAGCACATTCAGACAGCCAATCAATGGCAGCCACTGCGTCTCGTTCATGAGATGGCGGCTGTGTTATGATGTGTTGATGGCTGTCAGGTCAGGGAGGGGCCGTGTCGCCGTCTGGGAGACGGTCTGTCAACCTCCCCTCAGCAGTCCCGATGTCAGCAAGCTGCGAAAGCATCGATTCGTGCATCTCCCTGCGCGTGTTGCTCCGTACTATAGGTATCTGCGTGGTGAGGGGTCTGACTACCTGAAGCACTACTACCCCCCGCCGCCCCACCACCCAGTGCCTGTCGGCCAGCAGCCCTTTGTCGGTCCGATGCCTCTCAGCGCCTACCTGCCCGAGGGGCAGTTCGTCAACGGGCCATCGATTAGGGAAACCAAGTTTCAGAAGGGATTCTACCGCAGAACCAGACGTACGTATGTGCGTGAGACGCACAGATGGGCTGCTAGGCTGGGTGCTTGGCTGACGTGTGTGTGTGGTTGTGTGTGCTTGTGTGTTGATATGATTGCAGAGCAGATCGAGGAGATGCAGCGGCAGCAGCTGGGTGTGGGTGCTTCTTCATCGAGTGCGGTGCTACCGAGAAACCCACTCATACCGGACCAGCTCCCACCGCCGCCACGTAAACAAGCAAGGAGAGCAGGCGCGTTGCAGGGAGGCAGGCAGGCGACATTCTGTGTCTCTGTCTCTGTCTTGGCGGGGCAGCTGTCGGCATTCATCGGCACTCGATTGCGGGAACGGGTTACCTCCCGACATTGGCACCGTTCGGCGCTGCCCCAGAGAGGTGAGGGAAAGGAATGACAGTTGGACCGACGCACCAATCGGTTGCTTGGCTCCTGTGTGAGTGCAGTGAGCGTCACGGGCGCAAGATGGTCATCCCGAATGTTGTGTTTCCGCATCAGGGGCACGAACAGGACGTGCGCAGGTACACAGCGAGGAGGGGGAAGAAGGGGGCCACCTGTGTGTGTGGAATGAGACATGGTGGCCTTGATTGCATTGCAATGCATCCATATCAGACGGTTGAGTTTTGCGAGGTTCTACCAGTGGCACGAGAGCTCGCCGGCGCGGCAGGAACGGCTTGTAAATGAAGGACTCTGCCAGGTGAACATGTGTGCGCAGAATCAGAGGCCAGACGGCGCACAGAGGGGTGTGCATGATATATGTCTGATGCCTGCAGACGTTGCGTCAGAGTGCTGTGTTGGGTGACGGGAGCTACACGAGCAAAAGCGCCCGCAACGCATCCGAGGTACGTTTGTCAGCAGCAACCTGCAGGCTATGCGTGAGAGGAAGACGACGGCACTTGCCTTAAAGGCAATGTGGGATGGTTGCACATTCAGGGCGCGAAAGATGCCTTCATGCAGTTTCGTACCTAGTAAAGCAACCGAGGAGAGAGGGTGCTGCGGGCGATCGATGCCGACAAGCTCAAGACAGAGATGTCTCACATACCCTTTGGTTTGTGCTGCCTGCCTGCCTGCCTGTCAGTTCTGCCATCGGTCTGTGCGAGTCTGGAATGAGAGATACGATAAACTGACTTTTCTGTTTCTGATCTGAGTGACCGACTGCCCATATCCTTCGGGGATTCTGATGAGCATGTGGCTTGGCGAATCTCGGATGGATGGATGGATGGATGGATAAATGGATGACACACCGATATCTATCAATTGTACTGGTCAGTCGGCAAGGCAGCTCATACCCATATGTGTGTCCCGAGACGTGCACACGCACTCATGGACACACGCCCAGCACCCATTGGGCGTAATCCACCCATACCTTTGATCCACCCACCCATCTACGCATCGCGCCGCGCCACTCGGGCGCAAAAGGCAGGCAAAACTGGGCCATGCTTGTACAAAAGAGCTACTGTGAGGTTCCTCATTGCCGACTTCAGCTCTCCGTGGGTGAAGCCGCTGCTGGGACGGTCAGGCGAGTCCCAGCTTCAACATCACCAACGAAGAGATCAAGCTGGCAACAAAGCACTCGTACACAAGCAATATGCAGGCTCGCTGGGGACGGAAACACCGAAAAAGTGTCAGAACCTGGCACTGTGTGTGCTCCGCGGTGTGTCGAAGCCGGCCTCGACGCACTCTCGATGCTTCTCGCAACATGCATCTTCAAAGCACGTCGACATCAGCTACGCGACACACCGCAGAGGAAACACACTTCTGTCTGCACACACATGGAAGCGCTCCCCTCTCTCTCCTCTCTGTCTCTCCCTGTCTCTCTCTCCTTGCCACTGAATCCATCCCTTCGGGATAATCACTCGCTCAATTGTACATACACACAATATACAATCAATATACATCATACATATACAACAAAACTTCCCCAGCTGGCCGGCCACTCGTTCCATCCGTCCACCGATTCGCTCCACCCATCGTATCAGCCGCCCCTCACCATCTTGTCCCCTTCCCTGCCCGACTTCCGCCTCACCAGCACGTGCCAGTGGTGGATGGACTCGATCGTCCGCAGGTTGGTGGGGTTGATGAAGTACAGGTACTCGTGGGTGTCGGGAGGGTACGCCTTCTCCACTATCTCCTCCACATCGGCGGCTGACAGGTCTCTCAGGGCCCAGCAGACCAGGTGGCTGACGCCGTCCTCGAAGCTGTATGGATAATCGTTGGGCACCAGCCAGTGGCGGTCATGCAGCGACGCACGCGCAGCCTACAAGACAACACAGACAGAGCACACCCATAGCCAAGCGGATGAAGAGAAATGGTCGCCGCGTGCTCACTTTGCTTACCTCAGTGAGTGGGACTGCCTGCATCCGCCCCTGCTCATCCCTGGTGTGTTGGAGGCCCAGCACATTGATCAGGATGCTGTCGCCCATCGACACATACTCGTCTGTCACGCGGCCCCGCCACTGTCGGTACTTGTCTCCCACGTCTGCATTCCGCGCAAACAAATCGAGCCGGCCCGACTCAATGTGCTGGCGGGCTTCTTCCCAAGTCGCCGGACGGTCCACCACACGCACGCCACCTATCATCCTGCATCAAAGCACAGGCAAGTCGCTGGTGGTGATGGCTATGTGATTAGTCACGTACCAGGTTGTGGCCGATGTGATCTGCTCTCTCTCCCTGGTTGTGCTGCTTCTCTGCAAGGCGCTCGTGCCGTCCCTGCTGTCCTTCTGCAGCACGGCCGAGAGCTGATGTGGTCCGGTGCGGCGCGCCTCAGATACAGCGAAGAACAGGTACGCGGTGAGGGAGAACACCACGGCAGGACGCTGCATCTGCCTCTCCGCTGTACTTCTGCAAGCTGAGCTCGCAACGGATTCCGGAAGAAAAATCGGGGAGGAGGGCGCTCGAGCCATTCCCATTGGAGAAGTGACGTTCCCCCGTTCAAGTTGCCGAGATGGATCTGGTCAAGTATGTGTTTTTCCTATGCACCGCCCTCGGGCTGGCACCAGAGAGGACAGCTGGGCAGAAAGTCAGCGTAACCTTATATTACGGTAGGAGAGCTGGTACGATGCCCTTCTGATCTGTGCACCGCTGTCCGTATGTGTTACCGCAGAGTCCTTGTGCCCTTTCTGCCGACGGGTGAGCCGGGCCGCGTACGATTGCCGTCAATTGCAGCTGGTGTCATTTTTGCGTGTGTGTGGCCACCTGTTGTTTGTTGGCTCAGTGGATAGCCTACCAACTGCTGCCACTTGTAAGTCAGAGGCAGGCCACCATTGCAACTGCTGGGACTGTTGTGTGGACGCGCTTGTTTATGCTTCCAGTGGTCGTCTGAGCTGAAGGAGTACGTGACGCCGTCGCTTATCCCATACGGTGGGCAGAAACACCACACACCCTGATGATATGGATGAATCTCACTAGTTGGTGCATTGACGCATACGTGTGTTGTGTAATGATCGATGATGTGTGCTCTGGTATGGTGTGGCTTGGACTCTGCGGCACCAGGCAATGCCCACGAAAAGAGGGTTGACGGCCACTACAAGTTTCAGTGCCAACATGGCGAGGAGGAGTGTGTCCTCAACACCATCGAGGCGTGCATCATCAAGAAGCTCGGCGACAAGACGGACCAGCTGCTGGGCGTCATCGGTGAGTGAGTGGGTGGTGAATATGAGGGAGTGCAGAGCACGCTGTCGTGACTGTTTGTGTCGGTGCAGGCTGTATTGAGGATCCCGGGAAGGAGCCAGGTTCGTGGCACGACTGCGTGCCAAACGACACGTTGCTGGAGGAAGTCAAGACATGCGCCACAACAGAAGAGGGAGAGCAACTGCAGGTGCGCGCTCCACACCTGCCCCGCCCGGACAGTAAACGCATGCAACAGCACGTTCTGTTCCTGTGTGTGGGGTTGTGCAGCACTACTATGCCCAGGAGACCGATGGCCTTGTGCCGGCCCACAAGTATGTGCCCTGGGTGCTCATCGACAACAAACACTCAGCACTGGTGAGGGAGAACATCCACACACAGACGCAGAGGCAGGCCAACACCTACGACACACTCTTTCGCTCCCTTGTCATTCTCTCAGGCGGAGATGAACCTCAAGTCAGCTGTGTGCCGTCGGCTGAAGGACACCATCTCGACCGTGCCGGCCACCTGCAACGACTTCATCGTCCAGCAGCAGGACGCTCACGCACATGATGATAAGGAGGAAGGGCAGCCCAGCAGTGGCCGCACCTTCCGGCCTGCACCTGCCATCACCACAGCAGTGAGGGCTGGTCTGGCACAGGTGCTGTATCAGTAGCTAAGTGGACAATGAGGTAGAGGTAGAGAGCCGGGCAGCGGAGGGAACACTGACTGCATGAGCGAGAGCTAAGCGAAGAGCTTTTTCGGTCCGTTTGTTGTGGTGGCCTTTGTCGTCTTAAGTTTGAGTTTGGCGCTGACTGACAATGGGAGGCCATTGTGTGTGTCATGCTGCCGATAGCCATCTGCCATTCGGTGCTTCGCTCCACCGGCTAAGGTGACCCAATGTCCCTGTCTGTCTGTCTGTCTGTGGCCGGCCTGCCTTGCATCATACTGCGTGTAAAGAGATGTGTCGATTGGATTGGTGTGCCAACTTTGCCATGGGCCAGCTCAGCTCTATGCCTGTCGTTGCGCATATACATGAGCCATGCACACACATGTGTGCATTCCATTGGATCTATAGGGACGGGGCGCCTCTCATTCACTTAGTCGATGGATGAGTGCTCAGACAGACTGATGGGACAAAGTGGAATGACAAATGGAAATGTGGGCGTCGGTCGGCTGGTACTTTGTGGCTTAACAGCTGTTTGTCTCTAGCTGGCTGCCTGCGACTTGTCCTCGACAAAGACCATTGCATCTGCCTGCCTTATGTCGTGTATGGATCGAAGTCGCTTGACCTCGCCTCCAAATCAAAGGGTCCAGCGAATTTCATTTCATCGAATATATAACTAAGATGAGAAAGGGAAAGTTGACACAGCTGTGTGTGGTATTGACATGAACATCTAGCTGTTCTCTTCTATGAAATGAATCAAACTATGATGGATGTCTATTTGTGGGAGCAAGCCCGGCCACTAGTCATGGCCGGCACCTCGTCTTCGGCACGACTCAACTAAGTCAGGGCGCAGCATGTGCATTGAGAAGAAGCTCCAGTGGCTTTACGAGGTCCTGAAACACACGCACACACACAATCAGTCAGCTCACTTCTCATGTCCACAGCCATTCGGCTCACTTTACATAGACGTCACCGCCAACGAAATCGAAAAAGTCCCTGATGAAGCTGACACACATGCTGTCGAACTGCTCCATCATGTGGTAGGCTTTCAGACACATACGGAGATGGACACATCTGTCTTGTCGAAGTCATTTATCCATCCATCCACATGATGCAACATTCATATGATCGTCTGTGTCATTTGTTTGTGTGTCTGTGTGTAGTCTGTGTGTATTGCTGTCTACCTGGAAGCCGTTCTTGTTTCTCACGGGCAGTGAAGTGAGTCGGGTGGGAAGTACTTAAACTCGGGTGTCTCTGTGAGGCAGGTTTTCTCGTTGCAGTCGATGTACACCGGGATGAAGGTGAGCTCGTACACGTGTGGGGCGTCGATGCCGGCAGCCTGGAGTGCGGCGGGTGCAAACACCTGAGCGACACACAGGAGACAGACAGACGGACAAAGAGACAGGAGTAGAACAGAGTGTGTGTGTGTGTGTGGTGTCTGTACTTTGTTTCCTGGCTCGGTACTTTATTGTGGGTGTTGGCGTGTCTGATGGCTTCTGCGATGAACAAAACGTCGTGAGACATATCGAATATCACCAGTCCCGCGACGAATTGACTCGCATCGTCCTTATCTTCTGCAGCCAACTTCCGTGCAGTTCGCCGGGGTCTGATGGCCACGAGCATGCCTCGCTCCCCGCCAGGTATGCGATCAAGGCGTTGATGCTGATTACGAACGAGCCCGCGGGCGGGCTGCACAGTCGGCTGCGCCGTCGGCTGCCCGCTCGTGGCCTTCTTGCCCTTCTTCGTCTTGATCTTGGTGAACGTCACCTTCTTTGCTGCCCCCACCCCACCCGCCGCGGCCGCCGCACAAATGCCACACATCGCAGCGGTACTCGTTGAGGTTGGACCAGGTCGGGTGGTCGGGCGGCTCCAGACCGGCACTCAGGAAGGCGCCGAAGACGTAGTGGTCCTTGCGAATGACAAACAGCAGGCGCTGCTTGTCGCCGACACACCGGAGCAGCTGCTCGACGCACTGCTCTGGCCCTGCTCTTGTGCAGCCCACCCGGTGAAGTCGGCCCACTAGCGGCACACGCGGAGGAGGGTCCCGAAATTGTACTTGGCGGATGGGTCGATCACCATTCCCTCGCGCACACGGCCAAACGACGCCGACGACAATTGGCCGACGACGCTGGCGTCAGAGGTGGATCGTCTGTTTTGTGCAGGTAGACGATCAGCGACGTCCGCGTTGTGGTGAGGGAGGTCACTTGAAGTCGAAAAACTCAGTGACAGACGTGTGTATGACACACAGATGCTGTCGAACTGCTCCATGACAGACAGCATGCTGCGTGAGTACTCACAGCCATCCACAAACCCACCCACAGAACCATCGACTCGTGTCATCCCGCCCCGCCCCGTCATCTCACCCACCTGTCGCTTTGACTGTTTTGCGCTTGTGGTGTGCGTGCCCACCGATGAGGTCCACTCTTCGCATCGACAAGTGCGTCCCATTCATTTCGTTGCTTCAGCGCTAAAGGCAGACGCTGAATGAGGGGCTTGGATTCGAAATTTTTCTGTTCTGACCTCTTCATAGGTCTTGAATTTTGCTTGTCTTGCATTCTTCTCTTCAGGCACCTTGTTCCTCTGGCTCTTCATCCGAGTCGGACGGCAATTTGTTGTCCACCCGAATCTTTGCGCGAAGTCTCGGGGCACGCTTGTGGTCCTCCTCTGTCGGCTCACGGTCGCACTCGTACTGACCAAGCTGATTGAACGAGCCGTGTATCATCCCCTCCCTCTCCACTGACCGTGTTGTCGATGTCTCGCCCGGTCCTCACCTGCCGCGTGATTGTCTCGCTGCATGGCCTCAGGCATGGCCTTTTTGAACTCTGCCACAACAGCTGATACATCAGTGATGAACCGACTGCTTTGCCATTTGCGTACCGTCCGCAACATCAATGAGGTCTACGAGCTTGGTGCGTTGTGTGAAGACACTCAGGGCTAGGTAGGTGTGGAGGCCGAGGCCGCATTCCGTCAGTGTCTTCAGTGTATTGTCTTTGTTGTCTTTGGACGCTCTCTTGCAGCTTTGGGCGCAGGCCATCCACATTTGGTTCCAAGGGGGACAAGGCTGAAATCACATGTTGTTCATGGCTGTGTGTGGCGGTACGTGAAGCCCGTTGTTGTTGGGCTCGCCAGTAAGATTTGTCTTGGCCACTTGCAGAGCCACGCCGACGTTGCCACATGTCTCGACGTCATAGAACGGAGGCGTTGTGATGGATTTGATGTCCCCGTTCTCGAGTCCTGCAGCCTCCAGTGCTTGTTTTCTGTACATCTACAAGCGACAGACAACGCCAAAAGCGATCCCTCGTCTGTAGAGGGTGCATTTAATTTCTTCACATCATTCACCAATGAGGGTATCTTGCCGTGTTTGTTGGCATGGTCTTTGTATTGTTTGATGTAGAACACATCGTGAGGCTCGATGAGGTCTGCTGTCTCAAAGTTGAAGCTGACGCGAAGGCGAGTTCGCTCCTCGCTCCTCGCAGCATTGGTCGAACTCGGGGGCCACTCGACGGAATTTGTATACGTCGGAGAAGGACTTGTCAACGTCAGTCTGCTTGAATACATAGAGACACACATCAGCATCCACATTCCCATCAGCACCCATCCACACAAGCGATGTGATGCCTCCTAACAAAGGGCCTACGTGTAGAGTTTGTCTTGCGGCGCCTCACGCAACACCTCGCCCCTGAGAGCCTCCCCCTGAACCGCTGCAAAACGGTCCGTGTGGCGGTGGCGTAGGCCCTCCTTGACGCCAGGTCCCAGCTCCACGCCTCCATCCATGCATACATACATGCGTACACAGATGCGCACAATGCACAGAACGCTACCGGTTCAGCTATATCTGGCCTGCCCACCTCAGGGGAGGGGAGGCAGGGCCTCAATCACTGCAGCATCGCTCGACTTTAGTGACGGTGACGCCATGGATGAGGCCCAATATGCGCTCCCCCGAGAGAATGCGCGGCAGTGCCCTCCTGCCTTCACATACATGCACACACACACACGACACACACGATACATGATGCTTATGGTAGTGATGTAGTCGCCTCACTCACTTAGGCCACCGCTCTTGATGCCCAGGTCCCCGGTGCGCTGGGCCGCCATTGCTCGCGCCAACAAGGCCAACGCTAGTAGACGCGCCGCCTCCTGCACAAAAAGCACACCGAACACACAAAGAGGCAGTGTCGTGCAATGCATCTGCCTTTGGGCCTACCTGGCTGCAGAGAAGACACAAGAGGAAAATCCAATGAAGCGAAGACGAAATCACGTTGTGTGACATAAGAGGGCTTACGGTCAACTCCGGGAAGAGAAGATGGAGCGACGACTTGGTATCTCTTCGGCAGGCTTTCAAGGCTGCAGAGAGGCAGTGGTGTCTTTGGTTTGCTGCTGTCTGAGACACGCTTACCGTAGACTTCGATGAAGTTGAACTCAAAACGGCACGCTGCCAAAAAGCCTCTCATCAAGAGATTTGGCGGCACTTCGCTGAAAGGATTGCACTGCGGATCCCAGAACTCGCACAACACCATGAGCGACGACGACCTGGTCAACCTGAAAGAGCAGTGTGCAAAAGAGGTAGGGCACACGACACATCGGTGTGCTATGTTCTCTCCACCAACGTGTCGTGTTCTCCCATTTCGCTGCATATCTGAAGATGACCAACTCACGGAAGCTGCCATACTCGTCACCAAAGTCTGCACACAGACACACAGCGGCAGACACCATCCATGTCAAGTTGCCTCTCCTGTGGTGCTTTGCCCTCCCTCTCTCACAACTACACAGGGGATCTCCCGAGGCCAGACGCAGTGAAACGGCGCTTCTTGATCTCCGCCTTGCACTCGTCGAGAGTCCGGCAGCTCAGGACGGCCCCTGTGAGTGTCGTGATAACGTACTTCTCCCGCCGCCTCTCACCGACACCGAGCCGCTTCTGCTTGGCCCTCCCGACCTTCCGCCCCTTGTTGGCTTGACGAGCGTGTTGCGGGGCCTGCCTGGCCTGAACGCATGCACACAAATACACACAGAACTGGTCACCCCTACAGTCACCACCGTCCTTGCCTTAGCAGAACGTCCCTCTCTCCTCCACCTTTCGTATGCCTGTTCTGGTATACCATCCACGACCACTTCAGCCGCTCGCCATGGACCCCGAGCCCAGACGCAGTGACGTACCTTTGTGGGCAGTACACTGACCGCCATCACCGCGATATTTCATACCGCAACCTCCAATTGGCTGGTGCCTCTATCGGGTACCTTCTCGAAAAGCGACTCAAAATATGTCGGACGACAGCCATAGACAGCATCCGTCTCTGTAGTCCTAAGGTTGTTAGTCAGCAGGTTCTTCCGGTGGGAGTCGCTAATCCCCTGGACATGTTGCTGTGGCTGCCGGGGAAGAATCCATGATGAAGGACGGCAGCATTATGCCTACATTCTCTCCCGCCTCCAGTTCCTGGTGCGTTCTCGGCTCGACCCGACATGCAGCCGGCTGCAGAACCGCGGATACCCGTCACCAACCGGGAATCTAGCGGCCTCCCCTGGTTCCGGCTCAGGCCCCCATTTGTCCAAACGCCAATATTCCACCCCGCCCGTCTTGACATCGTCGATGCGAGGGGTGCTAATGGCGATCTCGAAACAGCAGTTGGGGTAATGGAGCGGCTGTCAGAAGCGGACCAGGTCTCCGCTGCCTGGCAGCTTCGAGAAGTCGGCCATAGGCTCGAATTGGGCGAAACTGGCTATCCACACGGTCAGGCTTAAAACGACGTCCCGCTTTACGACAAGCACCTGCATGGACAGAAAGCACCACACAGAGACGACCGACCACATGTCACCCACCCCTTTCCATCGCAGCACCCCGACCACCCACTTCCACACACACATACCCCCTGTTGCAGCACAGGTTCTCGTCGCCGTCGTACTCGTATGTGCACTTCCACACCCAACCGCCGGGCGCAAACGGGTTGTCTGCACCATACGCAAGCCTGATATCTGTGTGTGAGCCTCCCTCGACCCTACCGACTTGAGCGTTCTGGAACAGCCAAAAGTATTTGCGCAGCAGCCGCACTTCGAATGCCAACCCGAGAGTGACCATAAAGAAGCTCATCTTGTGTGGGTTTCCGATGAAGATGCGTGGGTGGGGGAGGGTCTTCGGGTAGAGCGAGTAGAGCACCTCATGTCGAGGTGCGCCTAGTGAGGCATGAATTCGCAGTGTAGTGGTCGTTCCTGAGTTCCACTGTCCTCGTTGCTTGTTGGGGGTGTGGCATCACGTTACCAGTGTCGTTCGTGTGGACAGGGAGGTCCATGCAGCTGGCCTGGACCTCAAACTCCAGTGAAGCCATCGGCCACCTCCCCATCAGACACACGCCCAAGTGCTTATATGGGCAAGTGCCGACTTGGCTGAAGTTCCCTTTGGAAACTGCAAGCAGCTGGCAGCCGAGCTGGTCCGCAGCGTCCCCCTTCTTGTTGGCCCTGACCGCAACGAGCCGCGAGTTACGAGCGCCGTTTGCGTTCCCCGGCGCTCAAAACCCGGGAGGAGGACGTGCGGTGGGTGGGAGGCAAAGACTGCAGATGATCGGAGAGTGACAAGGCCTAGGCTCCTTCCTCGGGCCACTGCAGTTAGGGAATCCCCTAAACTGCAATAAAAAGGATAGCTGACGACGCGCGACTGTCGAACGCGCGCCGAATTCTCGACGCGCGTTGCATCGGCAAGGCGCTGGCACGAGGGTACACGAGGGGAGGACCAAGCTACTTCCTAAGTCATTTCCCTTCCTGGCCAAAGCGGAAACGCGGCGTTGGCCAGATTGACGTCAAACTAATGCCACTTTTGCGTCCGTGTGCTTTCCCGTCTTTATCTAAATGACGCTTCACTTGAGACGATTGATGATTGATGTGTAACGCAGTGACACGCACAGCAAGCGCGGGTCAACGAAACACAAAGAAAGCAGGCAGTCGTTCACACACGAGAAATGTCGACACACGTACAAAGTCCAGAAATATGTATGTATCTACACATGCAGCCTACCTGACCTGCTGCGCTGCCTCATCGACACTCACTATGTACCGAAAAGCACGTCCGCCCGCTACACTCACAAAGGTGCGTCGCCGTCCATCAGTCGGTTGTCAGCTGCTTATTCCGTCTGCTGCCTCCATTCCATAAGTTCAGCCGACCTGCCGTCGTAGAAATACGGGGGTGCCCGGACCATGACGCTGCTATCAGAGCCCTCTATGACGACCCGACACGCGTGCAGCTCCTCCACATAGCGATGCATATCCTGCGGGCACAAACGATGGAAGGAAGGATGGATGTCTTAAGCGCATTCCGACGCTGTGCCTGACCTCGGCGGTTTTGAGGGCTTTGGTCTTCATTCTGGGTGTTGGGTACATGAGGGCCAGCCCCAGGTTGCCCCGTGTGTCGATGAGCTCGCCTATCGCCTCGTCCCCTCCGCACCGTCCCTCGTCGCCCCCGCACCGCATCATCACACGCCGCTTCTCGGCGTGGTTGGCGTGCAGACTCTCGTCGTCATCCGCACACTCCTCGCACATATGGTCCGCTACCTACACACACACACACACACACACGGACGTAGACATGGGTAGAGGGGCAAGGCAGACGGGCCGTGTGTGTGTGTGTGTGTGTGTTTGCGTACCGTTCTCCTGAGTAATTCGAGCGCGAGTGTCTTGTCGGTGAGGTTTGCTACCTCGGCTGGCAGCGGGGCGTTGTGCGGCCACTTGTCCAGATAAGAACCTAACACATTCAATGGAGACTAGTGCATTCTCAGGGCGGCGCTCGATTGTTGCTGCCTACGGTGTCTTTTGTGTGGCCTGATGAGGATGAAGAGGCGCTTCCGAATGACGCCAGTGCGATAAGTGCGAGTCGTCAGCTCCTGACCCATGTAACACCTGCAGACACATAAGTGAACGGTGGCATGCTGTCTGTACCTCTCCTTCCTGCCCAGTTGTTCCATTCTGACTGACCCCTTTGTGTACGATATGCCGCCGATGCCGTCGAGGTTTGCATTGAGTGGGAGTGTCTGGTTGGTGGGCAGCTCCTCCGGGCCCTCAGGCACACCCATCAGCAGACGCCTCATCGAGAACCGATCATCGCCACCCGCAGACCGGCCTTCCCTCTCCAGCTGCACAACATACACGCACACAAAGAGGCGAAGTGGTGAGCAAACCGTTGGGTCGTGGCAATCGATGCCCGCTGACCGCCTGCATGGCCCTCTTCGTCGCGTAGTGGTCCTTCCTGCCCAGCAGTCTGAATCCAAGCCTCCAGTACCGCGGGTCGACGCCATAATACATGCTACCGTAGTCGGCACCCTCCTGCCCCTTCTCGCCACCCAGATCCTTGGCGAGGTCCATAAGTAGCGCCTCCAGATGCTGCTGCAGCGGCTTCACGGCGCGCATGTTGGCGTCCTCACTCTCCTCGCTGGAGCTGGAGTTGTGGTGATCCGCCCAGCTGCCCTGAGTCGCCAGCCATTTCTGTGCGTAGGGATATGGCGGGAAAGCACTGGTGGCCAATGGTGTGTCAGGCGATGGCAGAGGAGGGGTAAAGAGGGGAGGGGTGGGGGATGAGTCGATGGGTGGGACGAGAGGAGGGGACAGCTGGAATACCACGAAGTCGCTCGATGCCTCTTCCAGCGAGATCTCGGCTCGCAAGCGATGCCGCTTCAAACACACAACAGACACGAGAGTACTGTGCTCAGGCCTGGCCTCAACACAAGGTCGCCTGTATGCATCCCACCCATGCCCCAACCCACCTTGAGGAGGCCGAATAGCGAGTTGGCCACGCCTTTGTGGCAGTCGAGGAGGAATGACGGCTCGCCATCACTGCACGGCTTCTGAATGTTGAAGATCAACGAGTCGCAGAGCACCCTCCCCTTGGCCGATAGGAAGACGGCAGGCATGGCGACCGCCGGGCAGAGGGGCTGGATGGTGGGCGGCCAGCCGTGGAAGACCGGGTGGCCCTTGGTGAGGCCAAAGTGCCACTGGCACGGCGGCACAATGGAATGGATGTCCTGCGCCACAAGGCCCTGCACAAACCTGCCAGCGCAGCCAGACGGAAAGTCACACGAGATGGATGCGCAACTCAAACTGTCTTGTCTTTGTCTGCTCACTTTGGTGCATCTTTGCCTCCTATTGCGAAGACCGCACGGCTGGTCAGTCGGTCGAGGTGCTGGACCGCCCGAGTCATCCCGGGATTCATCTATGACGCCAGTTCATCAATTGAATCTCCAAAGATGTACGCCGAATCGTCGATCCTGGCACCTCACACACCAGCAATTGGGAGGGGAGGATGTTGGCGGAGAATCTGCGAGCTGGCTCACAAAGCTCGCGCTGGTGAAGGAAGACTGAACGCGGCGTATCTTGTGTTTTTGCTGCCTCCAGTCGCTGTTGACGACAAAGTAACCTTTTTTCTCCAGCCATCGCCTTGTTCCGAGGCAGACACGCGGGAGTGTCCGGTCCTCTGGCCAGCGGTCTTGCGTGATGGGCAAAAGGAAGGCGGACAAAAAGTCCGCCGTGGCTGCGACTGAGGAGGGCCATCATCCCGAAGCGATGGAGGTGAGGGAGGGAGGGGAGGCAGGCAGACAGACAAGAAGACAAACACAGATGGCGGGCCGTGTGTATGGCGTGTGCTGGGTTCAGACGCCTGAGCAGAAGCAGGCCAAGCTGCGTGAGAAGTTGATCCAGGAGAACGCCCGCCTTCGCGAAGAGAACGAGCGGCTCAAGGACGGCATCGCACGACTACGAGAGGCACAGGCCATCGAGGAAGAGGCACGCAGACAAAAGTAAGACACCACACACCAACAACCCGAGGCAGACAAAACAAAGCACATGCCGTATTCTCTTCCTCCTCTTGTGTGTGGTAGGGGCTACCACGCCCGTCGTGCCCGTCTTCAGGAGGAGCGCAAGCGCCGCATCGAGCAGCGCGAGAAGGAGCAGAAGGAGCGCGAGCAGCAGGAGGCCGAGCGCCTCAGAAAGGAGATACAGGAGCGGGAGGCGCTGGTCAAGGCCCTCACGGCACGCAAGGCAGGCAGCCCCTCGCCCCCCCAGCCCCAGAAGAAGGTCTCATCGGCCTCTTTGCCGCACCTGGTGCAGGAGGACGGCCGCGTGGGTGGCAGCGGCAGTGACGGTGGTGTGTCGACCGAGTGTGTGAGCGACGATGAGAAGAGCAAGAGCAGCGGCCACGAGGTGGAGCCGTCCGAGCCGTCCGTCGACGACCTCCTCAAGTTCATCGAATCGGGCGAGAGGTGAGTGAGCCGTGGACAGTGGGGATGGGTGGGTGGGGATCAAGGAGGGATGGGGGAGGATGGGCTGGCTGATGTGCGTGTCTATGTATGTGTGTGTGTCAGCTCTTCAAAGAAGAGCGGCAAGAAAAAGGCCCGCAACAAGAAGGGCGCCACGGCCACAGACGCAGCCGACGTCCGCGAGACGCCCAGCACCAGCACCACTAGCTCCCCCTCGTCCACACGCATCCCACCTGACACAGCGACGGCCACAGTCGCAGCCAACGACACCGACAAGACATCCAACAGCAGCAGCCACACGCACTCGCACTCGCCGCTCACAGCCATCGAGAGAACCATCGAGGACGCCATGACGATCCCTAAAACGGTCGCAGCGGCCGAGCGCCAGCGCAATGCGCTTCGCTCGAGCTTCCAGAGCCTGCTGCTGACCATCGACCGCCTCTCCAAGGCGGAAGCCGCTACCGAACGAGGAGCGATCAAGCGCATGGCGATGGGGGCAAAGCACCAGAAGAACAAGGAGGACCGTGACAATGAACCGGGGGCTGACGGTGAGGACGAGTGGGAGGAGATTGACGAGAGCGAGGTGGCTGATGGGGGTGAGGGGGGCGGTGTGGTTGAAGGGGGCGGGGGAGAAGAGGACGGTGAGGGTGAGGATGAGATTGATGCGGAGGATGACGGCGGTGAGAGTGACGAGGAGAGCGACGAGGAGCTGGCGGCGTTCCGGCAGCGTCTCGATTTGCACTACCAAGAGCACCAGAGACCCGCTACTGCATCGGTACGCACAACACAATCCAACACAGAAGGCTGCAGATACGTTGGGCATGCACCTGAATCCTGTGTGTTTGGTGTCCGTGTCCTGCCCCAGCGCACCTCTTCGGCCACGTCGCTCGCCCACAGCTCCACCTGAAGGGCCGACGGAGACCGAGACTGAGAAGTGTTTCAACACATGCATCTATACTCTCACTCACCCACTGGTGCTCCTTGCATGCGATGCATGTGCTGCGTGTTGTATCGGCGACACGCATGGCAGAGCATGACATGGCAACCCAAGGAAGGGGCAAGCCAATTCACTAACTACTGACCTAACTGACCAAATGGATGATCAGGGGGGAGGGGAGGGAGGGGGTAGTGAGCATACGTATGCCGATGTGTGCGTGCATGTGTGCTTGTATCAAGGCATAAGCGCTCTCTTTGAAGGATTGTATGGATTCGGACTGACTTAAGGGCCTTGGTGGTGCGGGCGAGTGGGTGGGTGGGTGGGTGGATAGATCGTGACAACCCCTCCCACCCCTCCCCTCACAGCCGCCAAAAGGGAGAGAGGGCTTAAGGTCTGGCGTCTCCCAATGCCTTCCTTTGTCCGCACAGTACAGTAACAACACACTAGAGCTACGTGCGACCACGCCACCGTTTCTCGTTCGGTGGGTGTGTGGACTGAGAGCATTTTTTCCCTCACTCACTGGGTGGGTGGATGGATGGATGGATGAGTCATGGACGGACGAGCAACTACATAACGTAATTGGTACTCCTTTATACAGACATACATTGTGTGCACCGGATGTTTGGCCGACGCGATGCCCGAGAGAGAGAGAGAGAGAGAGAGATGCTGGGGGCAAGGGGGATGGTGTTGGTTCTGTTTTGTTTCGCTAATGCTGATCGATGTGACTGACTGATCGCTGCCTAACCAATCGAGAGACGTGCAATTTCTTTCTGTTTCATCAAGACCAACATGACGCCGAAAAGTGCGACAGACAGACAGACAGACAGGTGTTTCTGATTCTGGGAAGGGCAGCGGCTGCATTGATGAGAACCAGCAGATGGCCATTTCTCTGTGCATACCTCTTGAGAATGAAGGAAGGAATGTGAGATGAGAGAGAGAGAGAGAGAGAGAGAGCGAGAGTGGCGAATGCTCTTGCCGATACGCATCTGTCTATCTGTTGCGTCTGAATTCCCTTGCTGTGCGATTGCCACATCGAAGTACCCATCGGTGCTTCGCTCGTCCAACCATGCGACGAGCAGTGAGCGCATCGATGCGCGTGGCGAGGAGGCAGTCACACGGATGGGAAGATCAGGCTTTGTGTCGTGAATGCCACGCCATGGTTGTGAATGATGACAGAGAGAGGGGATGTGTCATCCGTGAGTGGAGAGCTTGCGTTGGATGGGCTCTTCCATTCTTTGCTGCATGCAATCGCGGTGCAGAGCTCTTACCCGATGCTGCCAGCTGTCGGGCGAGTGGATGTGTCCATGCATCTTAGCGCTACACGAAGCACGAGTATCTGACGAGAGAGAGGGGGAGAGAGAGAGACTTGCATCGTCGGTAAGGCTATTTCTCGTGGAACACACTCCTTCATTCATCATATCATTGCAGGAGACTCTCTGCGTGCGAGTGAATCAATTGAACAGCAGCTGCCGTATCTCATGTGCCGATGCGTCCCTCCTTCCCTCACAAACCAAATGATTTCATGAGCTTCGGTCCCTTGGGAGAAGTCACAGACGCAGTCATCTGCGGCTCACGCAGCCCCCCTGGCCCTCCATCCCCCTTGATGGGCACACCGAACTGCACACCCTCCGCTTGCAGTTTCTCGGCCAGAATCTTCAGCCCTCCCAGGTGTTCCTCATCGAGCACTCTGCCGGCGCCCGCGGCCATCGACCCACGGCGCGACGCCGACTGGCTGATGAGCTGGTCGACGGACGGCAGGATGCCGTGCCAAAGCGACAGGTTGTCTGCCTCGATATCGGGGAGCTCATAAGAGGGAAGAGGCTCCATTTCTCGCGGCGCATCGGAGTCGTGGTCTGCAAGGAGCATGCTCATGGCGGTACCGGCGAGGGACCCGGAGCGGCTGGAGCGAAGCGCAGGGATGCCCAACAGCTCCTTTCCCTTCCGTGAGTCGTCGCCAGACACCACAGACGACCGGCGGGGCATCTCGTTTTCAACCATCTCGATCGACGCCACACTGCAATCGCGTGCAAGGACACACTACACACACGTGGGTGTCCGAAGTGGCTTCCAGCTCACCTGTGTCGCTCCTTGTGCCCCTTGATGCCCGACGACTGCCGCCATGGGGCCTGCCAGTAGCCGAAGCTGCCCTGATGGACCACAAGGGATGGCTCTGTTGGGTGGTGCGTGTTGGAGTGGGTCGAGTGCAGCTCTTCGGGACACAGAGGGGTGATATCTGAGCACACAACAACGTCGAGAGATATCGGACGATCTCAATTTGAGTTTCGAACGCCAACCTGATCGGACGGACACGATAGAGTTTCTGCCTCTGCGGGAGGAGCTGCGTGACCGTTCTCTTTGCTGAGGCTGGAAACGGGGACAGAAAAGGCATCCTGCCATCGCTGCGTTTGCCCCCAATTCAGAGATCACTTATTGTGGGGCCGACCGGGATCCACCGCTTAGCGTTCTCTGTTCTCCTCAGGTGGTTTTTTAGAGCTAAGAAACCGCCTTACTACGTGTCCACACACATACCACCTGAACACTCTCTCACAAACCCTTGGTCGGTTGCTCGAATGACACCACCCTTCGCATGACGAGTCTCTACCATGATCCCTCAACTGAATCATCTCTGATAAAGATGCACTGCACACCACGGCTCCCGCCAGGCAGAATCGGATGCAGGGTGTTCTGGGAGACATGCACATCATTTCCGCCCAGACACACACACACACACGCGCGCACACACACACACACACATCGCCTGAACAACACGAGCAGACAGGGCGCAGGTGGCCAGCAGGGAGATGCATCAAAGAATCATGCCACAGGGCTCTTACTGCTTGCGTCACTCAGCAGAGCTCACTGAGGTCAGCCAGGCGCAGCCACAGCAGCCCGTATTGACCACGATGGAGCAGGCACGTGGAGGCGAGGATGCTCGCCGTGTGGCTGAAAGAGAAGACAAGAAGACTCGGAAGGCCATCCTTCCCTGCCCTGCCGCCCCTCCCTTCTCCCCCCTATCCCTTGCCCTGACGCTATCTGCCGCTCCCGTGTCCCCTCCCGTCGTATGATGGCTATATTGTTCCAGCTCAGTTATCTGAGTTTGTCGTGCCTCGGAGGACTCTCGCGAGAACCTCCCTCCACGAATCTCGTGTCATCGTCACTGGAATAGCCATATACGAGATGTTGCAGTCTTCTGAAAGCGCACACACAGGCGCAACACACACACAGCACGGGTGAGAGATCTGCGACTTCGCGGGCGTGCGTGGAGTTGTCTTTCAAGATTTTGTGCGCAACTGGTCTCTCTGACACTCCCTGACTCGGGAGGACTGCCTGCTTCGCTGTTTTTGCTTACTTTGGGTGAAAAAAGACATGCGAGCTTGTCAGTGGATCGTCGATCCATTTGGTGCGAGCTAGAACAGGAGCCAGGAGAAAACGGCATCGCAGCACCATGGTGAGAACGGCACACACACAAGGCATGCCCCTCCACCATCCTACACGTCTCTTTTGCTGTGATCTCCCCTCCCTCAGGCACCGAAGAAGAAGGCGGCCAGTCAGGAGCCGGTGGGTCTGAGCAAGCCCACTGTCCGCGAGGACGAGAACGTCTTTGGCGTGGCGCACATCTACGCCTCCTTCAACGACACTTTCATCCACGTCACCGACCTCTCGGGACGCGAAACACTCGTCCGCATCACCGGAGGCATGAAGGTCTGTCAACCACACGCCACACACCATACACACAGACGAGGGGAGATCACTGTGGTGCTGTCTGTGTCTTGTGGGGGTGTCTGTCATCAGGTGAAGGCCGACCGTGACGAGTCGTCCCCTTACGCGGCGATGATCGCGGCCCAGGACGTGGCAGCGCGCTGCAAGGAGCTGGGCATCACTGCGGTGCACATCAAGCTGAGGGCCACTGGCGGCACCAAGACCAAGACTCCCGGACCCGGCGCACAGAGCGCTCTCAGGGCACTCGCACGATCCGGACTCAAAATCGGCCGCATCGGTCAGAGAGGCTGGCACGGAACAGACAATCATGTGGGCTCAGTCAATACGTGCTCTTGTGTGTGTGTGTGTGTGTGTGTGTGTGTGCGTGTGTGATCAGAGGATGTGACGCCCATCCCCACCGACAGCACTCGCCGAAAGGGAGGCAGACGCGGCCGCAGGCTCTAGACAGACCTGCCGGCCTGCCTGCCTCTGGTGGTGGGTGGGATGCTTCGTGTTGGTTGTTGAGCGTGTTGGTTGTTGAGGATGCGACTGACGGATTGACGGATGAGCAAGCCATGGTTGTGAGTGGGAGGTGAGTGAGGTGGACAGACTGATTTCAAGTCAATCAGAAACAACTGCATGCCATGTCTGCCTGTCATCGCTCGTGGGTGGCTGTGGTGTGTGTCACGGACGCCACACGCGCAGACACGCAAGACTTTGAATGAATTAGCATCCATCCACCGCAAACCATACCACTGTCACACGAACGCGTCCATCCCACGCACACCACACATGCAGAAGGTCTCCGTTTGATGGCTGGGTGAGATGTATGTACGTGGCGGCAGGTTCGCACACCAGAGAGCTTGGCTCCATGGCGAGCTTGCCTGTGACGGCTTGTGGCGGCCGACGGTTCCGCCCCCACCCCCCCTCCTATCAAATGTGCGCACGAAGCATTGTGCAAAGGTCATCCCTCTCGGCATCTCTCTCTGAATCTCTCTAGTAGCAGACACGTAGCCATGACAGCCGGCGAATTCGGTATATCTCTCTCTCTCTACGTCATAGATGTGATCGACATACAGCCATTCTACGGCTATACAAGTCAGACACACACAGATAGGGAAACACCCAAGTATGTTGGGACGGGCAGCGAAGAGCGAGAGACCACACACGTACGGACACAGCACGCGGCGCCCGCTGAGCGAAGCGCCCGCCAGTGTGCCCGGAGGTGTGGCCATAGGACGCCGCCGGCCACACACACACACCCCACACGGACAGATGTAGCGAAGAGGGAGACAGGTGAGTAGGAGGGGGGGGGGGGGGGG